TCCTCCGTTCGACATTCGCCATTTTTTACATCTTCTTTTTACTGGTCGGCAGCAACTAGCTCAGAGTCCCTGATTGACTCTCACAGGGTAGTTAGACTCAGTCGGTCTTAACAGCTTTATCTGGATTAATGGATTCACGCGTGTGCATCCCTGCAGGTTCCAAGCACAACGATGAGCAATGGCTACTTAAGTGTAGACTGACACAAGGCACACACAATGATCATCAGCAGGGGTGGGTAGCGAAGGCTAGAGTTCCTAAAAGCAGCAGCGATAGGTAGCAGTAGACAGCTATTTAGACTTACCATGGAAACTGGAGCAAGTGGTCAATGTTTCGTGAAATCATGGAAGATATGCCTAGGTCTGTAATTCACTCTTAGGAGAGCAGGACTCTTTGAAGAACAGTTTGACTGGCCTTCAGCTACTCTTTGGTTATCCGCCACCCAATCGGATCCTGAATGGGACATTAAGATGGGACCTCTAACTCTTGTAGAAGCTTTGAGTGACATGAAATAAGGCAAGGCAGCACAACCAAATAGAATTGCACCACAGATATTTGAGAATATTGGTGAAGAATTATCGGTCAGGTTAACTGATGTGTTAACTAACTTACGACTATCAGATATGGTCAGTCCTGACTGATCTCAGTCACTGATTATACTGCCCTTCAAGAAAAAAAATAAATCCTCATATACTAACCGTATGGGAATTAGTTTGACGAATATAGTTTTCAAGATCCTAGGTTCTGTATTCCCTAGACGTATAAGCAAAGCTGTGAAACAGTAGACGCGATGCAGAGTCTTTTGGACACTGAGTTGCAATTTGAAAGTGTTTAGGATGCGTTTCTCACTGTCAAAATATAAATTCTTTCTCCAGGACTAGTTTTCGTTGATGCCTCTTCTAACGATAGGAAGTAAAAGGGTTGGGCGCATCGACCACTTCACTAAGCCAGGAAGTTAGATCAGTCTTGGTGGGTCAATGATCATCAAAATCTTCGTACAGATACAAAAAATACGATTGGTTTCCACCAACTTAAGCCATCTACACTGCCACTGTGATATCCGATTTTTTATAAGGGGTCGAGTGTACTGTTCTTCGGTTCGCTTTCTTCTAAAATTTGGCTGTGAAAGACGGTCGTTAAGTGTGGAGGGTATGAAAGGGCTTTAGGTGTTCAAGTACCGTTGTTTTCTTAACATGGTGTATGTCGTGGTATAACCACATCAATGATGTAGAAGTCAGGTGTAGTGTTTTAGGGAGAAGATGAAAGTCAGTTAAAGAGGTTGTGAACGTTTATCGACCGGGGTGGTTGGGATATGTGTTAACGCATCCCTAGCTACCTTCTGCCTCTCTGCACAATTTTACATGAAGTGGGTTTATACTAGAGAAGGTTAAAGGCAGCCAAACTAAAACTTGTAACCGGTGCATGAAATCTTTGGTTTTTGGTCTAAGCTATGTAGAGAAATGTAAACTTTCCGGTCGTGGTTCGCACAGCAACACAAACCTGTGGCTGGAGATTGTAGATGATACTGCTCAGAATTCATCTCACTGACGCAGATGTATCAAAACGTTATCTTCATTCTGATTGTCATACTGAATTTCAGTATTCTCTCACTCTTCCTTGTTCTCTGTTGATGACTTTTTGTCACTTCGAACGCTTTCTTATCTATTTCTTTATCTTTCATCTCGATGCATTCTCGTTTAATGTGCTGATATGACCTATAGCAAGTTGAACTGTTACGCACTAATGTTAGATGCCATTTTAATATTAAATGACTAATTAGTTTGAAGACATAATTAAATGATTATTTTGAGCGTAAACTGTTGTTGGTTTCTGAGAATTGATTGGTTCCAAGGTAGATTTCATTACGGACTGATGTCAATTGGAAGAATGTTAGAAACCTAGGGGCACTGGACAACCGTTTTGTCCTAGACGGGGAGTCATCGTTGTGCACTCGTGACCGCCTAGGGATGTGACTCGGGACTACCGCGGCAGGCGTGTTACTATTCAACCACTGGATCGAAATTCAACGATCCGGATTATCCTACTTCTATCAATCAGTGATGTTGTGTGACCATTATCCAATGGCTTTGGTGAATATTTGTCTTTATATACGACTTGGTTGACAACAAGAGTCAAGCTTCCTCGTTTAAACTTCTGGAAGTTTATTTCAAAACAAGTCGCTAATGACTACTTTAATCAATTCAATCGTGTAGAGCGATCAGTTTCAAGTTAGATTTGATCATGGACTACCATTAACCATGAGAACTGACGTTCCTAGATTCGATCCTACATTGAATTTCAGTCTAGGATGAAACGTGTGTCCAAAACTTTCAAATTTCCAGTGTTTTCGCAAATGATATCAGTTTATGATGAAATCATCCCCAGAAATAAACGATTTTATGCATAAGAAATCATACTGTTAGTTGGTATACCTTACTATTTTTGGCTTTATAAAGACTGATACATCAAGGTAAAAAGCTTTTATAGGAATTACCCTCATTCTAGTGTTTCGCACTAATTATTATTCCTTTGATAATCATCTACCTTTATATCATCTCCAAAATTTGTGATAAAAACTGATAAACAGATTGAAGAGTTCTTGAAATTTAGCAACTTGTTACGATTAAATATAAGATTTAGTTGATTCATTGACGCTAAAATCTGAAACCACAGTATTTATATTCTCAGAATCCAGTACATCGAAGCATATCTAGAAGAAGCTGACGATAGATATGGAATACTAGAGAAGTTAGAAGACATAAAAATTATTTGTCCATAGGATGATAAAGTGTTTTTGATGGAGACTTACAACTTATTGAAGTGATTTGTAATTTTAAACAGAAATTCACTAACACACTAACATCAACTGAACCACTAGTTTAAAACAGAGGTATATTAAAAAAACTGTCTCAGCTTATTGTCTTACACTTGTTATTTACTACTTCTGTCTTTTTAACAGATGAGCTCTTATGGGGATACCTCGATACTGTCCAATATTTATGAAGTTGTATTCATCTTGGTGATTAGGAGTGGAATCCTATTTAAGAATCGTCAGCTAGATGTATTTGCACACCAGTGAACGATATTTTTTTCACTGAGACTCGAAACCAGGTACTCATCGCTTCAAACGCCAAAGCTTTAACCACTAGGGCACGAGAATAATTTCTTATGCATCAGGTATCAGTTGTTATTTAGTACTTGTAATCTCCCGTTGCTATACTGGGTCGAAAGGAAACTCCTGTCATGGATTCCACTGTTAGCTACCAAGCATATTACAGCATAATGAGTAATCATGCAGTATCGAGACAACTGTATATGAGCCCATCTTCCAACAGAGGTCAAGAGATTCAACCCAGTAAAACAAACGGGAAATATCAAGTATCAAACAACACCTGGTACTCGTTGCACAGTAAGTGTCTGTCGTTCTCCAGAGGCGTAGTGGATAATGCTTTGGTGTTTGAAGGAACGGGTACTGGTCTTCAGTCTCAGTAGTAATGGTATTAAGCGCAGGGATGCAGGTACATCCAGCTGACAAGGCCTAAACAGGACAATTCCACTGCTAGTCATGAAGATGGATGCAATATCTCAGCCTATATTAACTAAGAGTAGGTTTTGTATTAGTAATGTGTTCCTCCTGAGAAGTGGAAACTCCGAGAGATATCTATCCAGTCTGGTGTTCAAAGCATAGATTTAACAAGATCTACACACTGAGACGAAATAGTAGTCAAGTACTTCATTTATGTCAATGGTTGCCCCATTGATATCCATTTTTAATGAAGACTCTTTATGTAATAACAAAGTCCTTGAAATCAATGACTTAACTGGCTTTGTTTGAAAATGTTTCTTTTTTCTTTATCCCATAACGTCTCTTCACCTTTGAAATTATGACAATTTCAGAATTTGAAAGTAAATAAAAGAGAATAAAAAAAACTGATGTTGACACTGATAAATTGGATGATTGGGTTATGTAGTTAATTTTGTAATGGTATTGCTCAATATAATTTAAAACGTATATTTAGTATAAAATCCGAAATTACTCTGCAGCAATTAATAATAATAATAATCTCTTTATTCTAAATAACATGTATGATACAGTATAGAATTTTCAGCATGGAATATTTCAATAAATTCGCTTTCCGTACAATATTTTTCAAAGAAATAATTATTACATCTGCATAGGGTTAAAAATAACAGTATTGAAGGCGCATAAGTGTGAAACGGTCAGCAAGCGTTAAATTATCCTCTGTTCTCGATTCCGAAATTAACACAAACTCGATTGTAATTTTGATGATGACAGTTCAGTCAGCCAGTACAGAAATTCACAATTCTATACAGGTATCCTTTAGAATAATAATAATGTGGTGTATTTTTGAGCATTTACAAATCCTCTTCCAACTAGTGGAACATTTTTCTTTTGTTTTGTTATTAGCTTGAGAAATGAAAGTTTAAAAACATTTTAAAAATGTGCGAGAGCATATAATACGTTGATAAGACATTTAAAAGAAGAAGAATTTGATAGAATATAATCAGTGGAAGGCTTTTTTTGGTAGCCGAAAATTTAAACAGGTCATCTTAACTTGTAACTTTATGACGAAGCTAATATGTTTTGATAAGACGACAGTATCAAATTCTTGGTTTCTTTTGTTGGAAAAGTGACACTGGTTAGATGTATCTCTCCTGGTATTTGATGCTTTTATTGTTTATTATTATCATTATTATTCTTTCATTTAGAATCAGAAAATAATCGTATCAATTGTTGACGTTTATAAAACGACATTGTTTTATTCTAAGTGCATATCAGTATTCTAACAATGTAGGCCAGCATTACGTAATCGCATATCTAAAGGCAGGTTTTTCCTTCCGTTGAGCATATATAAGTGAACGAAACCCATCTGTGTACTTTTTTTTCTCCTTAATTGTAATTCTGTTAATGATGAAGCTGGTTATGCATTTCAAGTTATTTTTTCGTTCTTTTTTTTTATTCTCCGACTTATTTTGACAGTGACCGTTTAAGTTGGCGCGATGTCCAGTATATCACTTTACTCACAGCTAATCCAAAACCGTTTAAAGATGGTAATTTCACTAAAAATGCTGTTGGTCGTCAATGTAAGTCATCGTTTTGCCTATTTATTTCTCGGTGACTGTGTATATACAAAGCTAAGAATGGCTTTATGATTACTAGTATTGAATGTGATCTGTTATTTATTACTCTTACTTTATCCTAGTTCTTCTGATTAGGTAAATTGGATATTTTATCGCATCAGTTGTCTAGGAGTGACATGTGTATACCTTGGAATTCGATCATTTTCAATTCACGTCACTAAAAAGATTTTAATTTAGTCAAAGTGATGTATTAACTTAATTATCGACTATTTTAATGATGCATTCGTCTATACTAGCACATTGCTGCTCGTGGTGTTTTCTAAAAGATTATCGTTTCAAAATGTCAACAACCATCAAAAAAGTATATGCAAATGATTCAACAAGATACTGATATATTTCATCACAGAACAACAGGGAGAAACTTAACAAGAAGCGAAAGATTGAGAATTCAAAGCAATTGAAAAAGTTGCATTACGCAGATGAAACAGTAAAAACGAGAAGCATTTCCACGAGACTATAGAGTTTTTATAGTGAAAATCTTATTATTGTGAAGTTATCGAGTGGATAATAATAACAATAATAACGCAATGAGACACTTGGATTGGATACAAATAGTGACAGTTCTGCCTCAGAACCTTTTGTTTCACTGATCTGCGAAAATTATAAGACATAGATCGGTCTGTGACTGTAAGGAAGACACTTTATTCGATAAAAATACATCATTTATATTCATTTTTAATGAACACATAAAATCCCTGGATCAATAATTGAATATTGATTTCTGATTGGCCAACTGTAGGACAAAAGTGTCCAATTAGACTTTTCCTGACCACACAGTAACATGAAACAAAAGTTGAAATTCAAAATTTCTACCTTAGCTGCTGGTGACTTAAGATGTTGATTTCTATTTAGGCTGCTTTCTGTCATACGACTCTTGAATAGTAGTGATAGTAATAACAATAAGTACATACTGTTCAACTGATTTCTAATTTTAATAGGCATAAATTATTTATTATCTATGAAAGCTGCCCTATACTTTTAGAGAAGTTTGTTGCTTAAAACTATGCGGGGAAAATATCTTTTAGGGGGTATCAATAGTATTTTGTGGATTTTTATCACTGATACCTCTATCTATTAAACTATTTTTTGAGTTAGGAGGACAGATTCGTAGGAATGTTCAAAGTATGGGCAACAGTTAGATAAAGTCTATCGGTACATATTTGGTTCGGAAAACTTTTATCACTGTGATAGATGATTATGCAACTTGGTCACTAAGTTAAGGATTTTCAAAACATCACAAAAGTACACATTATTTAATTGAAAGTGATTAAAATCAATATACTGAACTCTAGTCTTGATTCTCATTCTACGACGTATTACCTAGAGTCTCCAACCATTGATTTTAGGTGTCCTACAGACTCTAACCGGGAAATCTGCATTTCTCTACACCAACTCAATCGATAATCAAACACTTCATGCACTGGTGTTACATTGTATTCTAATCAAATTCAGTTTTCTCCAAGTTAAACCAACTTAAGCTAATATTGATTTTAGGGGTAGACGGCACATGCAACCAATGTTTCAGCCACCTAAGTGGATGAAGTTCCATAGCCTCATCAAATGACTTACCTCTTTTGCTTTAGACTGTAAACCTGTGTGCATTACTTACTTGAACACATGGATACTGCTACAAAGACTATGGTGGTAGTAAACCTAGAACCTTCCTGTGTCATCTACACTGAATAATCATGCATGATAGTCGAATAGTAAGACAGAGTGAACTACTGCACAATATAATTGATCCTTAATGGGTAATCCTATTTCTCCTTGACGTTATGGGTTTTCTACTTTAGTCAAAACCAAACCAATCTTTTGTATCTGTTCTAAAGTTTCATTGACCAACGACCTACTAGCTCTTCAGGAAGTGATTATTATTATTATTAGTCTCTTGGGTTCCTAATGGAACATAGGGCTTCAGTAGCACGTCTCCAGTGAACTCTGTTCTCTGAAATCTTTTGAACCTGGCTCCGCGACAGCCCACAAGCACTCATTCCCTCCTCGCACGATCTCCTCCATGTCACCCTCACCTCGGACGTCCAACTCGTCACTTCCCATGGGGATTCCACTTGAGCAACTGGCCTGACGCGTGATGTCTCCAGTCGGCCTTCTCAGTGTATGCCTACAGGAAGTGATAAACATTCTAATTCACAGGATAGCCTTTCAATCAAGAAATATCAGGAAAACTTTTCGTCTAGTTTATACTTTTTTATAGTCTTGATGTATTCTCTGTCATTGAATATAAACTTTATATTTATATTTCATTTATTTTGCATTACAGATAGTCAATTGTATGGATATGGTTTGATGGATGCCGGTAAAATGGTTCGACTTGGGGAATTATGGCGTGGTGTTCCTCCACACCATCGATGTACTTCAAATGTAATGGATGTACAAAAGTAAATTTTTATTAAAGTTTTTTTTATATTTGTTGTTATTTGTGTATGTTAGCAGGTATCTTCAATTTGATATGAATATCCTTATCAAGGTGATCTAGATAGAATGATCAATTAGTAAATGATTAACAGATTACACGGTCCACTTTGTTATTTCTCACACCTGAGCAGCAGTAGTAGTAGTAGTAGTAGCTGTATCTTTCATGATAATTTTGTGTCGGAGGTCAGACCTTGCGATCTTGGCTGAGTGGTTTTCAGCAGAAATCTAGTTGACACCAAAGTTGAGTAGTTTTTTAACTACTCAGCTGTCAGAAGTGTCAACGTGGGTCGTGCAGTTTGTAAATCATTTGTTAATTGATCATTCTATTTTAGGCATACCATTCCATAGAAAACAGGTGGCCAGATCCATACATCTTAACTAATTCGACTCTATGAGCTGTTTTTATCCAAGTACATCGCTAATCTTGGCTCCAAACAAGCGAAATAGCCATCCGGTGTTTAAATCACTTTGATCTGGATGGTGAAACACTACAGATCAGTCTAAGAGGTTTCTAACTACTCAAGTTGTTCATTAGTAGTACTTTTTGCGATCTAGATGGTCTAATTGTGCAACATGACATTATGCTTGCTTCTCATACTCTTTGGTGAAGATTTTAATGCTACACTTTTTCTAGTGACATTTGTATTAGTTACCATCCCTCGAGATTTAGAAGTTTAGATGATCATGGTGCTAGCGTAATTGTACGTGAGTCATATACTTGTTACCGAACAATACTCACTTTCATCATAATCATCATCAATATCAACATAAGACTAGGCATTACTGCATAAACGTTCCGAGTTTTCATACCTCATATCAGCACATCAAGCGACAAAGTAATAAGATAAGAACTAAAGGAGTGGAGAAAAATCAACCAAGAGCAGTAAAAAGTAATCAAAGAGAGGATGGTAGAACAAAAACAATATTGAATGATGATTAAGATGAAGATTATGCGTGGATACATCTGCACCAGTGACATCGATTCTGAGCCATTATTATTATTATTTTTAAAACAAACACGGTACAGTAAGGGCACCAAGAAGTGCGCCACACAAAGTAATATAATGACGATTTGAAGATATAAAGCAAAGGGAGGTGGGTAAGTTAAAAAGAGAAACACAATAAGAATAGAATAATTAGAAAGGCAGTCAAGTAAGACACATTCGAAAAAAATATCCATTACTTTTCAGCAGCAGAAGATAGAAGGAGGCTACAGCGTGACCGTCGCTGGTTTTGATTCTGAACCATATTTGATAACCTTTCAAGCCACTGAGTTGCGTGATATATCGGACCTGATCCAGAGAGTTGTGATATACCCATAGATGCTATCCCGATATGACTATCTTTCATCCCATGACGCCACCTCATACACTGTCCACCCCTAAGCTTCCTTCATCTAGTCTCAGAGTTAGCAAACAAAGAACGGTATGAAAGCCGCTAGGACGACATGCGTCACACACGTCCAAGTCACCGAGGCTGGTGATCACTCATTTAATGACCATCTCCAGCTTGCCTAAACACACGCTTTTGTACCTCAGAATTACTTACATGGTGTTGCCACAGGATATGAACAATCCTACGGAGACAACGATGATCGAATACACAGAGTCGTCGCATATCCTCAGCTCGGAGAGGCCAGATTTCACATGTGTAGAGCAGAAGTGGTAGCACCGAAGCGTCGTAAACCTGACCACTTACAGTCAAACTGACGTCACGAAGGCGGCGAAGGTGGGCCGGATTGATGTATCTCACTGTGGCTGTCGATATGCGGTTGGAAATGTCATTGCTCGTGCCTCCACCAGCCGTCACACAACTATGCAGATACACGAAGTTTTCGATTACTCCCGACGGCTCACCACCAAGGGTGTGTTCAGATACAAGCTTCTTCCAATGTTTCAAAATTACTTTGCACTTCAATGGTGCAAAGCACATACCATATTTACGAATAACCATATCGCGAAGAGTCTCCAACCGTGTATTTAAGAATACCTTCAGTATGTAGTAACAGAACTCAAAACATTGTAGAGATAACAAAAGTATTCACTTATACAATCTAGACAGTTTTTGCTATTGCTTGCCATCAAATAGACAACTGTTGATCAACACTGAGCACCAGACAATTAAGAATTGAATAAGAGAGTTATTTTTATTCGTAGATGTTTTCTCTTCAACGTTTTACTCATCCGTAAAATATTTTTCAACTCCAGTAACTCCACTCACTAGTAGTAGCCTAAAAAAACACAAACTCAAGTCTCACATGGAGCATTATTTTACCGAAGGTTATTAACGATAATTGGTCAATAAAGGGAACGTGTATCATAGCTATCTTTTCAATTTCTTTAACCAACTGACACTAAATGTAGCATATTATTTGGGTGTATCACTAAGTCGAATGATTATAATGTTATATTCTTTGGTCAAAAAAATTCAATCAGTCGTAATAACATACCAGTTACCTTCTTTTAACCAATTTGTATCGGTATAGTTCATTCACTTTTCTTTTCCACCTTATTTTTTTGATTCATATACTAGGAATTTAGGAGGGAAATTCAATCATACACTACTTCTTAACTTTTCTGGATGTCAACCAAAATCTCAAGATAATGAATCAATGAACCAATTAAATAAATCTACTTCAGAAAATGGTACACCTATACGCTACTTGGAACATGTTCAAGTTTATGCGGATATTGTGTATCAGCGTAGAGGATTATTACAATTATCCGTAATATCTCCCAGTGGTATGTCATTCATGTGTATAACTTGTCTTTATTTATTTTCTTCTTTAATACTAGTTAAACATTCGATCTGATCGCATTCATTTCATCTGACAAGGAACCTGCCCAGTTTCCAAATATTTTTTTCCATAATTTCCTGACTTACGTTACCGCCTTTTACAGCTACACACTTTCTGATTGCCTGAGTTTTCTGTCAACAGGATTCTCATTGGAAACTGCCTAATGTGTGATCCCTAACACAAAACTGTAATCAGCGAATGAAATATACTATCTAACAAAATGAGTAGTTAGAAACATGTAACACTGGTTTACGGATTCCTCTAACCAGATAAGCGGGAAATAAACACTGGACAACCAATTCGTGACTTCATGAGTATTTGAAATTGGTTATAGTTGATTTTGTGGAGTAACTTTGGTTTCATTGGCTATGTGCACCAACCTTTTTCTGAGCAATCGTATGATACTATTGATCTAAATTGTTGACTGCTGCGTTCTGATTGGTCAACTCTGTTCATTGAAGATTGCAATAAATGATTTCAATGACTCTGAACATATTTTTGCCTATGAATACTTATTTGAAATCGATAATCTTCAGTTAGACAGTTTTGCTGATGATGATGATGATGACGGTTATTTCATTAGAATCTCTAGGATGGAAATATTACCATTCCATTTTGTATGATTAAATCAATAAAATTGTATAGTGTCTTAGTTGAGTTTGAATAACTCATTGGCGATACTTTTAACTGCACTACTGAATTTGATAACTTTCAAAGTCTGTAGAGAGCACTAGTTCACCGCAGCCGACAAGTCCCGAAAAGCAAAAAAAACTCCAGACTGAAGATGTTCAGTTGACTACGTACAGTTGTATGGTATGAAGTGTATACAGTATGTTGTCATTGTCAATGATCGGTGCTACCCATTCAACACTTGGAGGCATATCCACTGTTTTGATCGTCATGAAAAGGTTAGTTCATATTCACAGTAGCTTAACCATACTGAATACATTTTATTTTTTCAAGTCGTTCATTGTAGACTACTAGTTTTAATAGAATCTGTGTTGATGAAAGGTTTAACTTTCTCCGTTTTAGTAGAGCACCGGGACAAAAAGCTGATGGTCGCTGGTTCGAATCCTGTCCCCGACCAAATTTTCATTTCCCCTTCAATCATCACCCAGTATAAAATAAATAAATCTTAAGAAATTCAACCTTTAATAAACTGTGGCCGTTTTATTGTTTTGAAGAGGTTCTGAAAACAGATTGATGATAAGAAGTCTATGTTTTTTATTTTTTTAGAAACCTACTGGTAGTTACCATATTTTTGTATGTTTCCCATTCTCATCCCTTCTTCACTAGGTACACTAAGTGTTCTCTTACCACCTCGAATTCATGATGAACACTCAGGTAATATTGCTATGCTACGTTGGCCAGTTACAACAGTTCAATTTTGGGGTGAAAATGCTATCGGTACATGGCAAATACGTTTGGATAGTATTGTGGGCAGTGAAATTAGTCGTGTTGATCCCGATAATTATAAAGGATTTTGGCGATCTGTTTGGATTGTAGCTTATGGTACCGATGAGTTTCCAATTCGTCTTAAACCGCCATCATCTGAACATCCACCGCCTCCAGTAGGTGTTTTATTGATATATGTCATTTGTTTTCATAGGATTGTGTTCATATATTTATTTCTCACTATGTTTAATGTTTACTTGTTAAGTAGTATGTAAATCTACTTCATTTAATATCAAAGTTTTCCTGTCTGTCATAATACTGTTTGTATTCTTTAAAAAAGAAACACATTCATATCTTGAGCTTTTCAACTCAGTAGTTAAATTCATAAATCAACTTGACAGTATTAACAAGTAGTGTATTCATACGTTATGTATGAATCACAAAAGCTGTTTTTATTCCCTGAATATGCCGGACTTCATGCAAAAGCTTTTCATTTGAACATAACCTCTTCTGATTCCTATCATATGACTTCATGTTAGTTAACTCTGTTCTAATGCTTCATATTTATCCCATTATTTTCCAATTTAGGGATAAAGACCTTGCTCTAGGCTGATATTTTCTAATCTAAGTGTAAAACTTGGGCACTGTGGTAGAATGTAATTCCATATAAGATTTGTTTATTTGATATATAGCGCACAGTGATACAGTATTATTTACTTGATTACGTTTCGAGCATAAATTATTGCTCATAATCATATCAATGTCTAATCTATCCTACTTTTTTTATCCGTGAAATATCCACCTGATCAGTTCAGGATTAGATACATCTCAACAATACAGCTAGTTGAACTTTACTTCAATAAAATGGACGTTGTGCCCAGACTGTCTGATTAATGGACGCTTTGAGCTATCACTTTTATGCACTGAACTCACCATGGGGGCACTACTAAGGCTAGATGTTTTAATTTGTTCAGTGAAGAACTCACAAAGTGAAACGATAATGTTTACTGTCTTATGGTGTAAAACCTTAAGTGGTTGGAGACAGCTGACAAACTTCAGAAGCTTGCTTCAGCATTAGGTGATGTGGGGTCGAATACCTGAGGCGGGAGAAGGGCGGGTATCACTTCCCTTGAATTCGCAGATATGCTTTACTTACAAATGTCAACAAGCACTAAAAATAGGTCCAGGATTTCTTACCGTCCACCTCCAACCAACTAAAATCAATCAAAAAGGGTAACGCAACAGTGAGTTTCTTAGTTTGATGATCATAATGGAAGATGACTGGTAGAATTCAGTCAGCTCTTAAGACTAAGTAACATTAAATTTGTTGCTCTCCAGTGGTCAATAAATGTAACAGCATGTATTGTCCACAGCTGCAGTACCTAATTTCTACTCTTCCGTTAAAACTAGAGGTTTAAGTGGGGAAGTCTGATAACCTGTACTGATTGGGGCAGTCAAAATATGTGTTGTGTGTTCTTAAACACAACTTAACTTGATATGTGATATAGACTTCAGTGAAGTTATAGTGGAAGAAACTGCCCTTTATTGAGATATGCATTGCAGTTAGCCATAAAATTTCAGGTTGGAACTCATCATGGACTAACACCAGTTTGGAGAACACTGGAGACCTAGAGGCACTGGACAGCTATTCCATCCCGTATGCAACTCCTCAACAGTGTGCACCCGTGACCTCACCTTGCCAGGGATCGGACCCAGTACCTTCAGCTTCTTCGGCCAGCGCGTTACCATTGAACCACTGGGTCGGAATTCAGTGGTCCATATTTCCTACTTCTTTCAGTTCATGATATAGCGTGACATCCTTCCAATGTGGTCGTTGAGTAACTATCCTCATGTTTGACTTGGTTGGCTCCACTGGTCGCGACTTCTCATTGAAACTTCAGGAATCACTTCTCGAAGCTATAACGCGAACTGACATAAGTAGGAAATATGGACCATTGGATTCCGACCGAATAGCTCAGTGATTATGTGCTGGCCGCAGAAGCTGATGGCCCTGGATTCGATCCCTGGCGAGGAAAGGTCACGGGTGCGCACTGTTAAGGAGTCGCATACGGGATGGAATAGCTGTCCAGTGCCCCTAGGTCTCCAATGTTCTCCAAACTGGTGTTAGTCCATGATGAGTTCCAACCTGAAATTTTATGGCTAAATACAATGCATGTCTCAATAAACGACAGTTTGATGCAGAATAGCCGGAGTATATCATAGGATTTGATTTCTAAAACTGCAGGAACCAGTAGATAAATAAATCAAGAAACAAAACGTGTAATATGTAGGGAGTTAAACTGGAAGTTAGTAGGAACACAAAAGACCCAAAAACAAGACGATGTTACCAAGTAAACGGTCGTTAGCTCGTGAAGCAAACACCGTGAATTTATTTTCTCTCAAATTGTTTCTTCTTTTGGTAAATGTTAGTTAGATGAAGGTAATCGCCAGGAAAACCTGAACCTGAGTTCCATGGTTGTTGGCACTCTTCATAAAGGCGTATTTGCAACCTCGACGGAACTGATATATCGCTTGAGATTCAAACCCATGTTACCTAGTTTTTTAATCAGTGATGTTACCATCGAGCTATTTGGGCCGCGATTGACCTACTGTTGGACTGGATTAGATACATTTATTGGTTACTGAAGGGTAACGAACTTGATATTGTCTAGTCCTAAGTGCTGATCGAATTCTATCGATCATTTTCTAATATGGTCACCAGTTGCAGCCTGAATAGCTCAGTGATAATGTCTCTGACTACAACACTGGGTGACATGAGTCCGAATCTCAGCGGGACATCAGTTCCGCGATGCTGAACTGCCTAGTCTGCTGGCTGCATTGCAAAATGATCGATAGTATTAAATCAGCACTTAGGACTGGATAATATGAAGTTGGTTACCTTTCAGTGACCAATCAATTCGTTTCTTCTTTTGTCTAAAAACTTTTGATGCTATCATCCACTACTGACTGAAACTTTTTGGCAGTTGAACTAGGCTAATATGGTTGGGATCTAGGCTTTAATGGATGTCGTATTATTAAGTTATGCAGTTGAGTCGTTAAATGTAGCTAGTGACTATCTTGCTTCAAATCTTTAAGACATTAACCAGAATCATCTAATTCTTGTTGAGTCTTTTCCTTTTCGATATCATTTTCTCAACTTTATTTGACAAACACTTTTCAAATCCATTAGAAAATGTCAACTTCACTTATCCTTTCTGCATGCTGGAGATCGACAATAGTTTTGAAAACATGTTGGGACAGACTATTTCATTTGTGAACAATCAATACTTGGTAATGCCATTTGTATTAAGTGACTAGATTTAATTAGCCTGAACAATTTAACTCTTCGACTTCACCGTATTCTCGTAGTAGATCAGATGAGTGAAACAGTCGTCCAGTAGTGAAGTTACTTTGATCCAACTGACTCTTTCAGATGAACCATTTTCCTGACAGTAGTGTGTGTGTGCGCGCATGTGTTTGAATGTCTAATTTTTATGGAATTCGTTAGTGTATTTCATCAGCAATTTGGCATACTTCTTTGTCATGGAAAATACACCCACATTTTTGATTATATGCTTCGAAGTAAGAACTTTATTCATTATGCTAGGGACAATTAAAAAATATGGTTTTCTAAACTAGATACCTATACGGGTTGGCTATGTTCTATTGCTAACCGTTTCTCAATAACGAGAATGCACATGTTTATTCTCTTCAGATGTATACTTGGACTTTTGATTGAGGTGTGAGTGTGTGTGTGTGTGTGAGAGAGAGAGCTGTAATGTGTTGTTGATTCACTAATCTGAGCATTAGGAATAGATCGTTCCACCAATTCACTGTCATTTACTGATTATACTTTCCTGGATCATGATAACATGAAGCTATATCGATCATCAAGAGTTCTTGTAACATTAATTGGCTTTGAAAGAATGACTGAACACAAATACTATATTACTCTATCATTCATCGAAGACGACTGTGCAGTCGAAATAATCCAGTCTCTATAAGGATTATTAGGAGTTAATGGAGGTGGTGAAAACCACTTGTATAGGTCAGGAAGCTGGTAAAACCTGAAGATGGTCAGGTGAATTGTCAGTGTTATCCTCCGATTGTCTAAAGTTGTATAGAGAAGCGTAGGTGTATTGTGTTGGCTACCGTCACTAAAGGGCATGATTCACACTCGATTCCACTGACGCTACTGGATTTATTCTTGATTCTGGATAAAGTAGCATTGTTTCAACACTTTTTCCTATTTCTTTCTTCATCATGCTGACATTTTTCCTCGTTGTACTCATAGTTCAGGGGGGTATATTCAACTCGGTACTTTTTGTATGATATAGAACTTTCGTATTTATCACAGAATTTGATGTAACTTTATCCGACATTGCCGGAGGTGAGGTTATGATTTCGTCAGCTTAGGTATTTGACTTACACCTAGTAAGTAGGTTAGAGATTCTGATACCAACTCATCTATCAAGCTTTGAGCAACTAAGTAGCACTATTTATATGATCACTATTAACTTTTTACCACCTTTTCGGATTGTTTCTACGGTTAAAGCAGATGTGTGTTCTCTATGACCATCTAAAGTATTTTATTATATTGTTATTTATCCCTTGGGTTCCTAGTGGAACATAGGGCTTCAGCAGCACGTCTCCATCCCACTCTGTTCTCTGCAATCTTTTGAACCTGACTCCATGAGAGTCCACAAGCTCTCATTTCTTTCTCATACTATTTCCTCCATGTCACCTTTGCCTCGGACGCCCAACTCGTCGTTTTCCATCTGGGTTCCACTCGAGCGACTGGCCTGGCGTGTGGTTTCCTCAAATGGCCCTCTCAGTGCATGCCCAATCCATCTCCACTTCCTTCTGCATATTTGTTGAGTGATAGGTTCTGGGTTGGTTCGTTGATAGCCAGCCAGAGTTCCTTGTTGCTTATTCTTCCTGGTCATCTGATCTTCAGTAAAGAGCCAGCGTAGGCAGGTGTTGATGAATATCTGTAGTTTGTTGGAAATGCTTTTCGTGACGCGCCAAGTCTCTGAACCATATAGAAGTACTGACTTGACTGAATTAGTGTTGAAAATCCGGATCATCTTTATGCTGAGTTGAGTGGAGTAGATCTCCACACAGATTTCAGACTAACGAAGACCTGTCTTGCTATTCCGATCCTGGCTTTGACATC